CTGCCTCAGTATATGTGGCCGGTGCCCTAACCACTGAACTATGGGCACCTAGACTCATTATGATTTTAATTTGCATTTCCCTGATGATTAGCGACGTTGAACATATTTTCATATGTTTATTAGCCATTTGTATGTCTTCTTTTGAAAAACTTTTGTTTATATCTTTTGCCTGTTTTTTAATGGAATTTTTTTTTTCTGATTTGCTTGAGTTCTTTATAAATCATAGTCACTACCTCTTTATAAGATATGTAGCTTGTGAATACTTTCTGTCTTATTTCTTTTTCTTTTCCTATGAGTTCAACTCTTGACTTTATCCCAGTATCCCGGATTTGCTCTGTTGATGATGTCCTTAGCTGTGTAGCAGCCTTTTAATTTAATCAGGCTTATTTATTTGTTTTTGTTGCTGTGATTGCCGTTGGTATCTTTTTCTTAAATTCTTTGGCTCAGCAGCCATCTAGAAGAGTTTTTCTACATTTACTTATAGAATTCTTTTTATTTATTTATTTATTGAGACAGAGTCTTACTTTGTTGCCCTTGGTAGAATGCTGTGGCATCATAGCTCACAGTAACCTCAAACTCTTGGTCTTAAGTGATTCTTTTGCCTCAGCCTCCCAAGTAACTGGGACTATAAGTACCTGCCACAATGCCCAGCTATTTTTAGAGATGGGGTCTCACTCTGGCTCAGACTGATCTCCAACTCTTTAGCTCAGGTGATCCACCTGCCTCAGCCTCCCAGAATGCTAGGATTACAAGTGTGAGCCACCACGCCCAACCTTGTTTGTTTTTTTTTTTCAATGTGTTGAATTTTTCATTCATTTCCTAAAATTGTTTCTGGTTTTGTTAAGTTGGTTTTCCTTTTTTTCTTGGATTTCATTGAGCTTCCTAACAATCCATATTTGGAACCCTTTATCTGTCGTTTCAATATTTTCATTTTGGTTGGTATGCATTGGTAGAGAGCCGGTGTTCCCTTTGTGGGGGTGTCTTTTTGGTCTGAAATTTTATACCTCTGCAGTTCTTTCACCGATTCCTTCTATTTGGAGCAGCTGTCGCTTCCCCCATCCCACCCCTACTTGTAAGGGTATGTCTGTAGCATATGTTGGTAAGAACCTTTGACTTTGCTTTGTGGGTGCTTTTATGGTGGTCTAGATTCTGGATGGATGCTGTGGTTATAGATATCCTCAGTGTGAAGGTTTTCTTCAGTCACTACTTGTGTGCAGGCTATGGCAGTGGTGAGCTGTGTAGGGGTAGATTCCCTATCTCTTGTTTTTTTGGGACACGGTCTCACTTTATGCCCTGGGTAGAGTGCTGTGACATTTGAGCTCACAGCAACCTCAAACTCTTGGACTCCAGTGATCGCCTTGCCTTAGCCTCCCAAATAGCTGGAACTATAGGTGCCAGCCACAATGCCTGGTTAGTTTTTCTATTTTTAGTAGAGATGGGGGTTTGGCTTTGCTCGGGCTGGTCTCTAACTCCTGAGCTCAGATGATCCACCAGCTTTGACAGAGTTCTAGGATTATAGACGCGAGCCATCACACCTGGCCTCCTGTCCC